TGTGGTTCCTTCCAGAATCAGGAGCCAGAGTAGCCGCCATTGTTGGAGATCACAGCTGCCAAACGCTTCGGCATTGATTCAAAGACACTTTGGATGTGTTCTTGGGGTGCAGCAGACCAAGCAGCTTCCACACGTTGCCAAAGTTGATCTGGTGTGGCAGCTTGGGATGCAATCTGGGTCAATCGTTCAGCAACCATGGACCACATGTTTTCTATCGGAGAAAGATCCGGACAGCGAGCCGGCAAGGGAAGCAATTCAATCTGGCGATTGACGAAGAACCCTTGGACAATGCGTGCCACGTGTGGTCGCGCGTTATCCTGTTGAAATATGGCTGTGGGCAAGCCCTGAAGGTAAAGAAGGACAACTGGCTCCAACACCTCGGAAATGGAGCGCTGGCTGTTTAAAGTACCGGCAATGCATATTAGAGGAGTGCGAGAGTGATATCCAATACCGCCCCATACCATAATATCCGATGCAGGACCAGCGTGGCGGTGCATAACGCAGCTGTTCAGCATCCTCTCTCCACGGTGTCTCCAGACTCGAATCCGACCATCGTGGTGTTGTAGACAGAAGCGTGACTCGTCAGTAAAGACAATTTCATTCCATTCTGCTGTCCACATTCTTCTTTCATCGCACCTTTGGCGGCGGAGACGTCTGTGGTTCTGCGTCAAGGGTAGACGAAGCAATGGACGTCTTACGGACAGACTACTCTGCTCTAAACGGCGTGGAATGGTACGCGCAGACACTGGATGATGCGTTACAGACTGGATGTGCTGTGCTGTGGTTCGTGATGTGACTGAGCGATCCGTCACTGCCATGCGCACAATGTTCCTGTCATCACGTGAAGTGGTGCACTGAGGTGAATGCGATCGAACACGTTGGTCCGTCGTACCCTCCTGCATCCAACGGTCACATATCTGCATTTCAGTTGTTTGGTTTCGTCCAACACGACTACCGATTTCCCTGAAAGATAATCCACACTCTCGGTAGGCCACTATCTTTCCTCTGTCGAACTCGGATACTTGATCAAATGATGATCGCTGTTTACTACGAGGCATAATTGATCGTTTGTTTGGAAAAAAAAAAAAAAAAAAACCCACAAGAAAACCACAATTGCCGAATTTGAAATCGTCGAAAACTCCAAGCCTTAAATAGCGCTTTGACGTGACGCCACAGGCGCGCGTGATGAGCGTCTGCACTGAAATTCTAATCATTTGCATATCTCACCTCCGCTAATGCATGCTGTAAATTTCATGTTATTTGCATGCTTCCTTCAGGGTGTTGCATTTACGGTGGCCAGCAAGGTATTTAAGCAGCCCAAAGCCATCAACAGGTTCTAACTCTGATGTGCACTGTAGAGCAACTTCCCATTTTTATCAAAGTTTATTTATTTATTCTGATAAATGTTGTTACTTTTCTATGTTTATTAAGTTCTAAATTCCATTTTACATTGCTTTACAATTAAGAAAACGTTTAAACATTAAACGCTTAATTTTAATACAAATTTTATGCAGATATAAACGAAAATTTTAGTTTTTATAGTGACAACAACAGTTTTTACGAAAGACCTTCAAGCTTCAAGCTTTTTCGCTTCTTTTTTCTCACCTTCTTTAGTTTCTTTTGTTCCGTCTTTGCTTTCTGTATCAGCGTTGTTGTCATCAGGCTTTCTGATCGACTTCTCCTTTTCAATCTTCTCCTCTTCGTTGGTCTCTGTAGATTCTTCGTCTCCAGTGATTTCTTTTCCTTCTTTATTGTAAGGTATTTCACAGAAATTGTTCTAGTAGAATTCACATTTGATTCATCATCTTTAGCAACTGACTCTTCTTTGAAAAAATGATTCTCTTTACAATCTCCTTCTGCAGTGTCGTTTCTCCTCGTTGCCTTAGGAGCTATTTGTATTGTGCTTGAGTTTCCTTTTTGCACTAATTCAAATTCATCTTTAATAGCATCATTTTCACTTATATCAGAATCTGCATCACTCGGGACGTCGTCAGAATTCACAATCAGGAAATCATTGCCACTTGCTTTGATTGTAGATGAAGTGTCCAGTTTGATCCCATTCTGTACTGTAACAGGAACTATACTAACAGGATCAGTTTCTGGTTTTGGAAGTAAAAAAACATAATTGACAACTTTTACAAATCCTTCTTCAGAACCATTTCCATTGCAATGAGCAATTTTATGCCCTTCGGAATCGCTATCAGATTTCTTATTTTCTGAGATAACGCAAATATTTGATTTAAATAAAGAACCATCAATTCGGAATTCACCTTCAAATATCTCTAAAGGTTTGTTGCCAAATTCCGTTAACTGTAGATCTGCCGACTTAAGATCAGGAGAACCTATCTTCTTATGTATATCTTCTCGGATTAGCGTTACTTGACTACCAGTATCTATTAAAGGATCAATTTGCAAATTACCCAAATTAACAGTTTTTATGCCATTTCTTTCTGACAAGTCTGAGTCTTTAAAAATTCCAAGATGTTACAGCGGTTTGTACCGTTTTGGCATCTTGGATATTTTTAGAATGATGTTTTCGGAACAATCTGCGGCTTTGTGTCCAAATAAATCGCATTTAAAACACTTAAATCCTTTACTCTTATTGTTGACACGAGTTCGATTTATAGGACCTAAACTTCCACAATTGTCATAACACCTTGGTTCTTTACTTTTACTAGGTATAGCGTGTGTTTTATTTTGTGTGTTAGTACTTGAATAATCCTTATTTTTCGTATCTAGAACGCGAATTTTCTCATAAATTTTTAATTTCTCTTTGAATTCAGAAATAGTTTTACAACCGTACAAAACAATTTTGTTACTACTCTGATCTGGTATCCCATTGATTACGTAATCAAGAATTGATGAATCATCAACAGAACCGCGACTGGCTATTTCACGCATGGCAATTAAATATTCGGAAAGTGATTCACCAGGTTTTAAGTGTCGTTTCTGTAACAAATTATGAAGTTGCGCACAGTTTATTTTAGAACCAAATTCAGATAAAAGATTTTCTTTTAATTTGTCCCATGATATTATACCCTTCAAATTATTTAAGTTACCGGAATTACAGAAAATTGTGTTTGCTAAAAAATAAATACTTTAGCAGAACCAGTAAGCAATTTTTTAGCAAACACAATTTTCTGTAATTCCGATAACTTAAATAATTTAAAAGATTCTTCTAAATCACCAATGAAGGATTCAACTGGATATGTATCAGTGCCATTAAATTCAGAAACAGTTTCTAAAATATCACGAAAATGTAAGGAAATATTGCTAGGCATTATAATGTTTTCATCCACTGAGTTATTTATGGGAGGTGATTCTGACAGAACAGAATTAATATCATCATTTTTATCAGAATCATAAACACTTTCGTTTTCAGATAACTCATCATCGTCATCACTTTCGGATTTTAAAAGCTTAAAATCACAAAGACTATTCAATATTAAATCACAGTTTTTATCAGGATTTGAATCATAATTAAGATGTAACAAATTACACACAGAAATAAAATCATTTGCAGTAAGAGTTTTAAGTATTTTTTTTTTTTTTTGTTTCTTCAATATTAAAATCAGATGGAAAACCACAAAAGTTACGCAACCTAGCTCTATTTTTTCGATCACCCAAAGTGCCAAACACAATTTGATGTAAAAGTTTAATTGACGTAGTAGGCCTAGTCTTTAAAGAATTTGAAATTCTAGGAATAGAGTTTAAGGTAGTCATCTTAATTCACAGTATCATAGAACACTATTCTTAGAAGTAACGATGTGGAAATAATCGAAACAAAAACTTACTTCTCTTATTTTGTAATATTCATAATGCTTCTTCCTAGGCTCATCGCGGCCTGAGCGCCCAAATCTGTAGAATCGGTACTTACTGTCTAGGAATATGATGTTTGTAAACTTACTTCCGATGTGGCTGTCTAGGGGCTAATAAACTAGTCCGATTTATGTAAAACTTGAATATTTAATGAAACATGAATAGTTGCTACAGACTACAAAATGATTACATGTGTATAAAAGATGAATTTACATAGATGATATATACAGATGAAGAGAATCGACTGTCTTTTACATTTAAACATCTTTTAATCGCGTCATCGTCTTAATGGCGGAATCGTCTGACTTCTATCATCGGAAAAGTAAAAGATTTATTCTCACAGCTTGTCGCGTCATCCGATTATAAATGTTTTGTTTAAAACTCAACGATTTCAAAGAAAGCAGTGGCAACACTGTACGGAATAAAATATTTTTCCAGCGCTCCAGATTGTCCATCAGAAATTCTAAAGATATGCTATATTTGATTATTTTTATACCAAAAGGGCGTTAGTCCCATTTCTGTCGAAACGTGTACGAGTGTGTAAATGAAAAAACGCCCCTTTGGGTGTAATATAAAATCTGAAAGCCTTCAGATTTTTTTTTTAAATGTTAAATTGTTTTTGTTTTATTTGATTACGGCAAAGCACACGAGGTAATTTGCCTCAGGGAAGGAATGCTCGTAGAGGACGTTCTAGAAGAAACTGGCTCATATACACGTTATACATGGAAAGGTTAAATCAATATTAATCTCACATTTTGCATTACATTCTATTTAAATTCTATTTCCTCTTAGGCAGGCAATAATCATGTTTTTTATACCAGAATGTATATAAACCCAATGTATTTTCCTAATTCTAAAACATTGTTTATTTGTTTTAATTGGATAATATACTCCTTGTTTTCCCTTTCTTGAAATAATACTTTCAGTTTTCTGTTCGGTGTTTTACATAATTTACAAATTTCTGCATCTTTCTACTCAGGCCATGTTTACCTAAATTTTGGGTTTTTAACGTCTGTTTTTGTATATTTTGTTTCAATTCATCCGTGAAAGACGTATTAAAAGTGAAGAATAATTTTATCATGAATTCGTAAACAGTTGCAGAGCAACTATATAATATGAAGAAATAGAATGCGAAATACAATAAAATTAGCATAATTATATATGCAAAATTCGCTACTTACCAGCATTGAAATACAAACAGGTCCAGATATAATCCACGAGTAATTGCTTTCTTCTATCCAACAGCTGAAAAAAAAAACTTTATTGGTGATAAAAATAAACTTACTTAGTGGTTTTATACTGCTAAATAAAAATTATTTAGTATAGAAACGAAAAAATAAATTACTACACAAAGTTGGAAATTAATAAAAAGTATTCAAGTCGGATTACCTGATAAATGTATAAATGTACTACAAACTGTATTGATAATTTGTACTCTGAGCCTCACCACATCTCAAACAAAAGTTATTGCAAACATGTAACAACAGACTGCTGTTTAACATTAAACAAACTGCTGTTTTCATGCTGCACACAAAGATGAAAAGGATTAACATTTTAATACAAGTCGAAGACCCGTTAACGAAGGAAACTGCCATGTGTAGCGTAGAAACTGAGATAACATAATAATCGAAGTTTTGCAATTATTCCTTTTTTTTGTTTGAACCGATACAAAATTAACTAACACACAAAAATGATCTCTAGAAAGCTAGGTTGCGTTCGTAAATGCTTACATGAAAGAATATATAAATCTGAGCAATCATTTCTTAATTTCTCACAGAACTGAAAGGCAAAGGAAAGTATTGCAAACAACAATATAATTTGTTATTCATGTAACAAAATTATCGATATTTACACACAGCTAGTCCTAACTTTAGGTAAAGGATATGAGTAGTAAAACAAATAATAATAGAAAACAAAGGTGTAAATAATTCAAAAAATGAAAACAAAAGAAAATTAATTTACAAAGGAAAATATTAAGCATAGATAATATAAACAAAGCTAAGCAATTTTTAAATAAATTGATTATAATATTCCTACATCGTATTTATAGCCTGTTTACAGGCTTATTTAATTAGTTTATTTTAATTATCTATTTCATAAAACCACAAAGACAAGAACCGCATCTTCAATCGAAACTGTTTGCATAAGCTAATCTGCGCTTAGTAAGTGTGCAAAAGCTAATTAAATCTTCGTAATAGTTAATTAAAGTCTCTTAAGTAATAATATGCTTCCTAATATATTAATATGCAAAACAACACGTCTTTGCGATATACGCGTCTGCACATATATTTCATTAGGCTATAATTTAATGTTAAGCAGATTTCAAACTTTCTCTTAAGATTTAGGTGTTATGTGCAACGCTATGACGGGCACTACTGTGACCCTATGGCAGCCTCGAACATTTTTGTGACATCTTAGTGAAAATATATATACGTCTATCTTGAAATATGCCAAAGAAATTAAGACAATATATTGAAAGTACACAACTCTAGGTATATAAAGTAGCATTATGGCATCAAGAAAATACCTCTTTTTTCATGACTTCATTTCCTTAGTGAAACCCGTGACGATAAGAGGGTATTGTTCCAGTAAATATAAACTAAAAACTGTCACGAAAGAAAATCATACTAATTAGGTATTATAGAATGGTATTATTATAACCATTGAAACACTGAAAATAGTAAATTAAACTGTCATTAATTCTGTTCAGTAAATTAATCAATTTTACTTCTTGAAATTAATTGCTTGGCGTATATGTTCTACATATCAGTGTCAGAAGAACGTCCGGTTTTTTTTTAATTAAGCATTGGTTAAATTTAAGCTAATCCTTGTCTTTGAGAAAATGTACGTTTAACCCTTTGACGCGCGCGATATTATTTTTATAATTTTTTTAACTAAAAACACTAGAAATTGAATATTATGATCCTAGAGACAAATAATACATGAATTTAAAAAAATCTACTCTTGCCCATTGTTCTGTGGGTGGTGGTCGCACTGTGAAACCACCGCGCGTCTAGGACTTTGAAACTTACCGAGGTAAGTAGGAAAAAAAAAAACTTACCTTTCTCCGTGCGCGTTTCCAATAAATGATGAAATTTACGAATTTAAATAAAAATACATGTAGGAATTGCATAATATATAATATATATATTTTTTACATTATCTTACAAAGTAAATCGTCAGAAAAAATTTAAAAAATAAACATTTATGTAATTTTTCTATAGCAGTGAAAGTACCTACATAATAAGGACGTTTGGCTACATGGATTAAAAAACTCAGTAAAATAAGGATAAAAAAAGAATCAGTGTTTTTTTTTTTTTTTATTTCAAAGAACAAATATTTTTTGTGACACTGTTCAAAGCATGTTTTGTCTTTTTGGTACATGCATGCCCACATTGCACGTTTCGCCACATGTATCTTCTTCTATGAGGTTTCTTCCTTGTGCTACAAAATGTACACTGATTGAATCTAAATTTCACTGGTATATGTCCAGCGTTATTTAGTTTCTTTTCATCTGGCACATGAAATTTGTGGGGTTTTTTTTTATGTTAATGAGGAGAGGCTTGGTCTTTTTGGCTTTGATACGGATCATTCGTTTCCCATTCATACCTATTTTATTCATATATCGTCCCAAAATATTCAAAAATATTTTTAATTTAAATAAAACTTTACGCGATTTCTATTTTTAATTACAGTATATTTACATTAAATTTAAACCACAGGAAATAATTTATAAAATCACAATACTAGCTTGGGAAGCAAGTGTGTTGAGGTCAGAGAAAAGTATCTGGAAAAGAAAGACCTTTTTACTGGGCAGGTGCATGTATTGTTTAGTAATAAAATAACTCTGTGATTTCAAAACCCCTTATCCCTATCCGGGTAAAAATAAATATTGCTATTTGAGAAGCAAGCAAACGCCATTGTGAAGAGCAGTGGTTTCAAGGCGCGACCACTGAGCCTCTAGAGCAGTGTTTCCCAACCTTTTTTTGTGCTTTGCCCCACCTAATCCTCTCTAAAACTTTTAAGCTTCCCCTAGCATATACATAATTTTTAATATTTAAAAATTTAAATTTTCACGAAAGAAACTTGAATGATAGCTTTTAGGAAGAAATGACTACGAAATTTTATGAGCAAACACAGTAAGTGAACTTTCAAAACATGGAGAAATGAAATTCTTTTTTATTTTAAGTATTAGTAGTTTTTATTACTTAATTTAGCGAGTTCCATGCGCTTGATACTTGCTGCAAAGAAATTGTATGTCAGACTCCAATTTAGATAACTTGAGTCTCAAGTCTCCCGGTTTCATTATATCCAACCGATGTTTTTTAGCAGCAAATCATTTATGGCACTAAATCCGCATTCAGTAAAATATTAAGATGGAAACGGTAACAATAGTTCTCTTGCAAATTTTGTTGCATTTGGATATCTGATTCTAGTTTCCTCACAAAGCTATGTCATTGGTCCTTTTATATTAAATAAAGTTCATCATCATTTTGCATTTCTGCGAGTTCTTCTTTTTACTGCATATTTGAAATGTCAGCCAAATCCACTAGCATTAGCTGCATCATCCAAGTTGGAAAATCAATTTGCTTTAAGTTGCAAAATCTTTTAAATCAGCCGATAAAATTTTTCAGATGATCGACAATAACAATTATAGAGGTAGTCGCGTCACATTTTTGGAGCCAATGAGATTTTTCAAACTTTTTGTGGTAAATAGTATATGCCTGGCATAATTTAACAAAGATAATGAAACCAAATATCTTCCTTTTGCATGATAAGTTTTATTTGCTCCTTGAAGTTGTTTATTTAATATATTTAATTTCAAAGATATCGGCTAAATAACTCACAATTGCCTTGTTATCCGTTAACAGATTTTTCATTTCAGGTTTGTCGCTTAAAAATTAACTAAGAGTGTCAAATAGTTCCATAAATCTTTCCAAGCAGTTCCCTTTCGACAGCCTTCTTACTTCATCGTGAAGTAAAAGTCTCATATAGTCTTCATTTTGTTCTTCGTAAAATAACTTGAAAAGACGTTCACATTTGGCCCTAGCTTTAATAGCATTAACTGAATTTAGTATTTCATTTAGAACAGGCGAATTGTTTTTAACTACCAGGTTTTTCTGTGAATAACACAATGCACAAGAAGCATTTCTGGATTCTTATCTTTTATCAATTTTAAGCAACCCTTTTTCTTATTCTGTGCTTTAATCTATTTTTCAACCATCATATTAGGAGCACCATCTGCAGTACAAGATGTATTATATTTTTATTGGTATATTTTTTATATCTAAATAATTTTTTAGCTTACTATAAATATCTTTGGAGGTAGTGGTGCTTTCTAATGATTTACAGAACATTTCTTCGGTAAATCCCCTTTATGAATATATCTTACATAAGTTACAAGTGCGGCCTCACTGCCTCTCACAGTTGGTTCATCCATTTGCACCGAACATTTTCTTGTTTTCAGCTTTTCAAAAAGTTGTATTTCAATAGCCTCACTCATTTAATCTCTTCTGCAAACAGTATTGTTGTTTAGTGGCATAGCTTTAACGTCTCAGATTCCCAGATTAAGCGATGAGTAATGAAATTTGATAAATAGCCTCAAGAGCACGATTAACAGGTGCATCATGAGCTGTAAATAGACACTTTAATAATACTCTATTTAAAAAAATTTTCCTTAAAGTGTAAAAATAATTCGAATCTGAACTAATATCAGCATTATGTTTCGCCTTCAAATGTGCCTCAAGACGACCTAGTTTCATTGATTTGTTGGTCAGGCATTATTGGCATAAAAGGACAAAAGTTGACCGCTTATGGACCGGGTATGGAATCAAATTTTAAATATGCCTCCGAATACCGACGAACGTTTTTTCTTGCTTGCACCCCTCATTTCACTAAGGGCTGAAAGAAATAAATATAAGATCAATGTAAACAAAGCTGAAAGCAGCTACTGTTGCCATTCAAAGAAAGAATAATATACCATTCCTACAGTAATTGTTACAGTACAGTTGCCATTCCTACAGTAAAAAAAGAAAGTCAATTTGTTGGCTGAAATACGCGAGAAACGTCTGGAAAGCATAATGTGTCAGTTATTTAAATGCCTTTAAAAGCATTTAAATGTCCATGTCTACAGCGAGAATTCTTTATAAAATATTTAGAATGCACCGCAATTTAAAAACTTTTTACGTATACATCACTTACATTTTTCTTTATTTTGGGGAATAAAAAATGAAATTTCGAAAAAT